GGCATGTTGAAAAATAGCATGTGCACCTTGGGTGGGAAAACACTGACTTTCCGCCCTTGATGCACAATATGCTATTACCACGAAGATTTTTAATACGGGGATTCCTGTATGTCGCGTGATACACGAAAAAAAGGATTGGATAAAAATTTTGGAATGATGTGTAAAAAAATCGATAACAGTTTCGTACTACTACACTACAAATAGTATATTGTCCACCAAGGGCGGAAAGTCAGTGTTTTCCCGCCGGAGGTGCACATGCTATTCTGCAACATGTCTGTAAAGAGAACTTCGTGTTTAGCTGTCTGAAAAGCGGGAGAAAAGTGAATACTTTCCGCACGAGGGTAGAAAGTAGCTCCCAAGGGCGAAAAGTCTTGACTTCCGGAATTGGCAGTACTTTTCTACGTGAGGACGGGAAGTACTCACTTTCCCCCCGGTTTTCAGGGAGCGAAGTCCGAACTTTCCATACAGGTGTATTGAAATAGTATTGTCTATCAAGGGCGGAAAGCAGGGCATTCTAACCCGCGTGTGTATTACCGACCTGAGCCAAAGCCGAGGGTGGTAAATATGCGGGTTTGAATACACATTGTTCTTTCTGTCATCCCTACACGGAAAAGCTCGAAATGTGGGTTATGTCATCTCGAGGATCTTCAAAAATAACAGAAATCTGAGGGATAGTATAAGCCATTTTCTTCCTGTCATTTGGGGAGTAAAAACGAATATAAGTATATTTCCATGTAGGTATGACGGAAATATACTTATATGATTGTATACACGTTCTTTACGATTTGACACTCGTCAATTGGTTTAAACTATTTTTCGTAAATTATAATTACACAGAAGGGCAATTTGATGGAATTATGAACGTAATTTTGAACGATTATACATATCATTTATGATATTCCGTATGTGTACACTATACGATAATCGCTTATGTAATCGTAATTTGCGACTGTGGAACCCTAAGTAAGTATATAAATTATATTCAAAATGCTCATCTATTATGATTACATCATTTTCAACAATTATCTGTACGATTCACGATTTTTACGCTTTATCACTTTAACTTGAGTCATAACATATGTTTCCGAAAGCATAAAATGTGATTCCTTTATAGTCATTTCAATTCGCGTTTTTTTATCGAATATATTTATAATAATAATCTATAACAATCATCAATTCCCAAGAATCAAATTTATAATCATTGAGAAAATGTGATTGACACCTGGAAATTTTCAAATCATTTTCAGGTATGCATATTTACGTACAAAGATAATCACAGATTTTTTTAAAGATATTCTTATTTCAATATTCGCATAATTAAAAATAAAAAGTTCGCACAAAATTATTGGAAGAACTTCTAAGAATTAACCGCCAGAACATTTCATGATTATTGGAGCTGCTCTATTTTTTTCATCCTGAATTATTTAAAGTCCTTGATCGATTTTTACTTTTTTGCTTTATTACCCTAATATTTCCGGAGGAATTATATTTCCGTAAATGTAATGTTAAAGTATGCAGTATTTTTATTTATAAAAATAGTAAAAGAACTGTTGCGTTGAAAAAACATTGACGATAAGAATCACGAATGATCCCCTAAATTTCAGGTAGAAAAACACGATCGCTGAATCCCCTGAGGTGAATTGAATAGAAAGGGCATGTATGCGTCGAGTGAAGAATACAATGAGAGTACATATTCGTGATGAGGGCAGATGCGCCTTCAGTCTATTACACGTACTCTATTTTTTTTAGGTCTCACTGACTCTCTGACTCCGTCTTGAATTATCTGATGCTTAATCCCCCTTCTCATGAATGTGAAAGCTCGATGAAAGGGTGAGCCAGTGAAAATCGGCGATACTAGCCATGATAATCATTGGATGGGAACAATTAATTCAAGAGGAGAATCATAATCCACAGGATTGACTAGATCCATTACAATTTCAAACCGCCACTTCTAAATTAATAATTTATTGTAAATCAATGGTATGTATTTCAACAATTGCTCAGACGATTAAAAAATTGTTTATCAATGTAACAGCAAATTTAACTGATTTTTTTACAATTGTGTTCATATATTGTTTTAATCATCCCTAATTATCATACTTTTTAAACGAACAATCAAGTATTAATTAACAATTATATATCGCGTCGTATAAATATGATTTAGTGGAATAGTTGATTTTGGCATTTCAGATGATTGGAAATTGCTTCTTCAATGGACCTTTTTTTAATTAGTTTCGTTCAATGAAATGTAAAGAAAATTTACGTTTTTACAAAAAT